CTCTGGACCCCTTCCTACCCGTGAAAACCGCCTGAGAAGCTGGGTAAGGACCAGATCTGCCTGCCCGGAACCCCACTTCCCTCACCTGGCCCCGGCCCCTGCCCTAGAAGAGATGAAAGAGGCGGCGGCGGCGGCAGTTGTTCTGACAGGGTCTCCCAGCGGTAGTGGCTGCTTCGACCCGCAGCTCTAATCTACCGCCGCCGCCATGTTGGAGGGTGAGGTCACCCCCGGCGTGCTTTCGTCACCGCCGGCGTAGGGGCGGACTGGGGACATCAAGGAGCTCCAGAAGGGGCGGCACTGGTTTCCCGAGCGGAAGTACGGACCATAGAGGCCTGGCGGTCTCTTCGTGCAGACGTGACCCGGAAAAGTCCCCTCTTTCCAGGAGTCGCTCAAATCTATGATTCGTGAGGTTGGTGGAGGTCATTGACTGCTGGAGGGAGGGGAGGCCGGATACTAGTGTGCAGGAAGAGAAGCTGGCGGTTCCTGCGACAAGGAGCATTGCTGCATCCACAGAACCTGTTCTGTCAGAACATGTATTAAGCAAACAAGTATTGAGCTTCAAGTGTGTGCAAGTAAGCGTGTTAGAGAAGTGTCAAGAGAGTCAGGAGAGCTGCAGAAAGCTTCGGAGTTGGCAGCCACTTGTCAGGGAAGATGGGCCTTGAAAGTTGGAAAAGATTTGGGATGGATGGGGTGAGGTGGGAATAGAGAGGTCATTCTAGGTGGAGGGTCCTGTATGAACAGAGGCCATATGGAGAAAAGGGAATTTTCGGTAGTAACCCATTTCATTCACAGCACTCAACACTGGGCCTGGAACAGAATGTGTATTAATGTATACTTGAACCCAAGCATCCTTTATGGGAGTCACTTAAGGTATCTAGTCAAGAGGGTATAATATCTAAACCATGCTTTAGAGAAATCAAATTGCCAGTGGTATATATTAGGTAAATTGGAAGAAGGAAAGTGTTGAAGGTGAATTAAAGGGCAGTTTCAAGGAGCCAGATCAGGAATGATAAAAGCCTGCTGAGGAGTGACTGCTAGTGGGTACAGGGTTTCTTTTTGGGGTGATGGCTGCACAGTTCTATGAGTATACTAGAAACCATTTAATTGTACACTTTAAATAGATGTATGGTGTCTGAGTTATAACTCAATTAAACTGTGAAAAAAAGAACTTGAACTGATATGAGTATGTGGGAATCAAAAAGAAGGTTGGAGCTGGCGTTGTAAGAGGCTTTAAGCCTGAGTGAGATGATAGAGGTGGCATTAATAGAGATTTGCCAAGAATAGAACTAGTGGGCTAAGAAAACGATCAATAATTCCCTAATAGTACCTAATAACCAGTCTAAATTTAAATTTTCACAACTGTCCAAGTAATGGCTTTTATAGGTTTTTTGGGGGAGGGGGACAGGATCATGCATTGCATTTGGTTGTCACATATTTTATTAGTCTCCTAGTCTTATTTTTAATAAAATTGGCTTTTTGAAGCATATTCATACAATGGCAGTTACACAGCATAAAACAAAAATGAACCATCGATATATGTGGCAATACAAATTAATCTCAAAAACATTGTATTGAAGGAAAGAAGCCAGACACAAAACAGCACATGCTGTTTGATTCTGTTTATATAAATTTTAGGAACAGGCAAAATTAATCCATGGTTATAGAAATCAGCACACTATTGCCTGGGAATGGGGGATGTGGGATTGACAGGATAAAAACATTTTTTCTAGGGTGGTGGTGATCACATAGGTATTAGAACTCATCTAATTGTAATTTTTTAGGTCTATGCAGTTCATTGTATGTAAATTTTTCCCAAAAAAGTCACATGAAATAATTCTGTGTAGTTATGTTACCAATTTGATAAATGGTTACTTTCATTTCTTTCAGATTGCTTTCAGTTTTAGGCTTTGCTTTTGTTCTTTTTTTTTATTTTGCTTTTTGAATGTATAACAATAGCATATAGGGCAATGGAACAGAATACAAAGTCCACAATGGTCAACTGATTTGTGACAGAGGTGTCAAGGAAATTCAGTGGGGAAAGGGATAATCTTTTCAACAAATGGTGTGAAATAATATAGTCTTTTACAGAAATTATTTGAATTTAATCACAGCAGTTTATGGGTTTGGTTTTGTTTATTTTGGGTTTGTTTGTTTGTTTGTTTGTTTTTACAGATCTTACAAGTGATAAAAAGTTCTAGCTTAGCCAGATATGATTATAAATTCTAAACTCTAGATTCTACTCACTTTATTCATTCTCATTCATCAGTTATTTATTGAACTCCTATCATATACCAGGCAGTGTGCTGGATGCTGGTGAAAACAGTGAGTAGGTCAGACATGGTTCCTATTGAGAAGCTGAAATTTTCATTGGAAATAAGTCGAAAGGGTATTTATGAAAAGCTTTTTCCGAAGAGGGGATATTTTTGGGGAGTGCGAGAGTGGGGGGGATTTTTAAGTTGAGACTTAAAGAATGAAAAACAAGCTAAGCGGTAACTAGAGGAAAAGAACTTTTCAGGCGAAATGCTTGGTGTTTTTCTGGAAGTGAAAAGAAACCAGGAAAGCTTTGAGGTAGAGAACAAGGGAAGAGGAGTAATGAGAGCAGAAAAATAGGCAGGACCAGGTTAGGCAGTGCTCACACAGACCATGGTGTAAGGTATTCACGAGCATATAGAAGCCACTGGAGGATTATAAATTGAGGAATGACTAGATGACATCTAGGATTTCACTCTGCTCTGAGGAAAATTGGTTGGAAAGTGGCAGAAAGTGCAGGCACCTAATTTAGAGTTTCACTACATTCTGCTACCATTTATTTTTTTCTCTTTAAAATTAATTCCTCGGGGATGGGGAAAAAATGGCTTGGATGACAGAGGCTTTATTCATCCCTCTTGCAACCAAATCAAAGTTGTGACAAGATACAGAGCAAATAGCCATCAAAATTGCCTGGGATCTAGATGAACAGAAGCACTACAACTAGAGAGGAAGAGAAATAATTAATCTACCTGCAACAGTAGAAGGTAGGAGGAGGCGAAGACGTGAGGCTGTCCCAAGCGGCTGAGTGGGAAAGAGGCTAAGCAGTGGCCTCCTAAAGTGGTGGTGTCTGTGAGCATACTTTCATGGTGATGGACCTGCTCGTTCTGAGCACCAGCACTGGGTCAGCTGCACGGGGGGACACTGAGTTGTCAGAGCAAGGGCTGGAGGCGAGGCTCTCTCGTGGGTAGAAGTGCTGGTGGTATCCATTGTTCCTCTGTTGAGCCCTCCCCGCTCCCAGCGTTTGGACCTAGCACCGCCATTGCTAATAACAGAGGTCATTCTGCCCAGAGGAGTCCCTGAAACTCCACCCTCCCCAACTCACAGCCCCAACCAAGCCACATCCAGCTGTGTCCTCAGTGAGTCGGGTGTTCCTTGCTGAGCAGCTCTAAGACTCACACTTGTGGCAGCTGGCCTCATTTTCTGGCATGGTTTCTTGAGGCAACTATAAGCACAGCATCTGTGGATTGCTTGCTGAATCTTAATGGATGGCCCCGGAGCGGCACAAGCTGGGGTTAAACTTGGCCTGCAGCTGAACCCCTCTCACAACTGTGCCACTGGACACCTTCTACACAAAGCCACGCTAAAAAGACCGGGAGACTTAGGAGCTTTGCTTACTACATAGAAACAGACAAAGAAAGGCAGCCAAAATGGGAAGATGAAGCAGAAATCATATGAGAGAACAGAACAGAGATCCAGGAATAATGGAGTCAAGCAATCCAACAGATGCAAAGTTCAAAATACTGGTTATAAAGATGCTCAGTGAACTTAGGGGAAGTGTAGATGAATTCAGTGAGAACTTAAAGAGATTAAAAAAAAAACATAAAAATGGAAATGGAAATTATAAAAGGGAATCAGTCAGAAATGAAGAACACATTATCTGAGATGAAGAGTATGTTAGAGTTATTAAAGAGGATCGAACCACCAATACAGAGGATGGGAAAGCCAAGGACAATAAGAATGACAAGAAAAAAGAAGCCAAGACTATAATAATAATATAAGGAGTCTATGGTACGCTATTAAATGTAAAAATATCCATGTCACAGGGGTACTTGAAGGAAAAGTTGAAGAGCTGTTTGAAGAAATTAAGATGGAAATCTTCCCTAACCTAGTGAAGGAAATAGACATACAACCCAAGGAAGCTCAGAGAGTCCCCCACCAAGACACATTATAATTAAAATATCCAAGGTTAAATACAAAGCAAATCTTAAAAGCAGTAAGAGTAAAGCAGTTAGTTACCTCCAATGGAAGACCCATAAGACTGGCAGCTGATTTCTCAAAAGAAGCAATGCAGGACAGAAGGGCTCTGCACAAAATATTCAAAGTGTTGAAAACCCAGGATCTATAAACAACAATACTTTATCCAGCAAAGCTATCATTTAGAGTCAAAGGACAGATAAAGAGCTTCTCAGACAAAAATAAGCTAAAGGAATTTATCAACACCAAGCCAGTATTACAGGAAATGTTGGAGGGACTTTTTTAAGAAGAAAAAACATGTATCAAAAACAGGGGTAAAGAGTGGTAATAACTACATTTCTATCAACAAGTACCTCAAATGGAAAAGACTTAAGTGCTCCAATCAAACGATAGAGTGGCTGAATGAATAAGAAAACAAGACCCCTATGTAGGCTGCCTACAAGAGATCACTTCAGATTAAAAGACACACAGACTAAAAGTAAGGGTATGGAAAAAGATATTGCCTTGATGGACCTAGAGGGTATTGCACTGAATGAAATAAGTCAGACAGAGAAAGACAAATATCCGTGATACATGTGGAAGCTAAAGAACAAAATAAACAACAACAATGAAAATAAACTCAGATACAGAGAATATTTTGAGGGCTACTAGATGGGAGGGACAGTGAAAAAGGGTAAAGGGATTAAGAAGTAAAGTAGATAGTTATAAAATTGACATGGAGATACAGTATAGCATAAGGAAAATAGTTAATAATGTAGTAAATATGTAAGGGAGAATAGGAGTAGTAGATTTAGTGGGGTGATCACTTTGTGAGTTATATAGATCTCTAATAACTATGCTGTACACCTGAAACTAATATTGTACGCCAACTATAATTTTAAAAAAAGTCATTGAATTGTACAATGTAAATACGAGCAACTAATTGTCTATTATATTTCAATAAAACCGGGGGAAAAAATGAAAAAAATAAAATAAAATTAATTCCTCAACATTCAAAGACAAAGATGATTTACATTTACCTCCACTCTCTCTCTGTGTCCTCCCCAGCAAGCAAACTCAAGAGTTAGTTTATCTATTCTATTGACTCAATTTCAAATACACCATAGACTGAATGAAGCCTCAGCTTGGGAGCAGGTGAGACAAAGAGCTAGCAAACTATCTCTTTATGACTAATCTGATAGTAATTTAGGTCAGTGACTTTGGTGAAGCCATATCTAAATAGGTTTATTTAGGAGGGGGATTTTGCAATTCACCTGAAAAACTTATAATAAAGCTTTTCCACAAGACCTAAGCTAGTACAGGAGGAAATTAGATTTGGAAAACTCCTAACTAGTTAATCTTTGCATGTACTAATAATAACTTTTTCACTCCAGAGACAGTCTCTGTGAAGCTTACCACATTCTTACCAGATAGGATCTGGCCTGTTCCTTAGTGAATCAGCAAAATACTGCAGAAACTAGTTGTAAAGACCATTAACATGGGGAAGGGAAAGCTGCACAAAAGGGGATGTTAACTATATCTGTAAGACTATTTATTTTATTTTAAAAATTAAGTCTTAAGGTTAATGTAACAAATGTTAATTGTCAATTTAGGGTGGTGGTACATAATTACATGAATGTTTGAAATTTTCTTTGTTCTGTCAACATAAGAAATATCTAAACCTGTAGAGAATTTTTATAAGTTTATTTGAGCCAAACTGACATTCTGGGACGCAAAGTCTCAAATGCTCTGGAGAATTAGTTTGGTAGCTTCTTTTATATATTTGCAATTAAGGAAGTAATGGAAGGAAGATTACATGATGGTGGGAGAAAGCACAATGGGGTTTGATTACAGAAAGGTTAACAAGATTATTTGCTTGAGGGCGGTTACAGTTTATTTTAAAGGTATATTAACTGAGATCCACAGAAACAATGGACAGAGGCTTGCTTCAGGAAAAGGTAAGCGTTTATTAAAGAAGTCATATGCCTGGAACTGACTACCCACCATGACCTGCCTAGTGAGGAATTTATGAACCGATCACCATGTGAGGTTACTTTCCATAGGACTCCTTATTTTTCATTTTTAGTACGTTTCTATATTTTTTAATATCTCGAAATTATAATAAATCACAAAAATCAGCACACTCTTTCCCAAAAAACAAAATGATCATGACCTGAACAGTGCAACCTCTGTTCCAAACATTAATTTCATAAATAATTAGATATATGGCATTAGATTGCTACTCTCATTCCCCAACCCATTATTTTGCAGAAAATTGTAAAAATAAATAGGAGGAGGGATTGTAATCCAAATGAGTGAATATTACCTCATCTTGACCTATGGATGTTATAGGGAGGCATAATCCTGAAAATCTGTGTCTGGGATGGTGAAGAATGACATTAATGCAAAACCTAACTAGATGAGAGAAACAAGCCTATCATCTGGTTTAGCTCAGTTCATTAGCATACTGATCCAGATAAGGTCAATTATGTAGATTTCTGTTGCCTTATTAGTGGCTGAATCCTTCTCTTATGAAACAGTAACATTTTTCTCAAATATGTGCACCCATACACTACAAAGAACCATATACTAGTACAGCTGGAAAACAATTTGGTAGCCTTAAAAACATGTACCATTGTCTGTAGCCATGCCACCCTGCACGTGCCCGATCTCATCTGATCTTGGAAGCTAAGCAGTCTCGGGCCTGGTTAGTACTTGGATAGACCACCTAAGAATACCAGGTGCTATAGATGTTAAAAAATTTTTGTTTAAAATATGTACCATTGCCATTAAAAGGACAAACTGACATGTGCTTTCTGGTGTGATGCACTGAGGACACAATATCACATGTATAGCATTTCTGTAATTTCTGTAATGCATAACCTGAATCAAATTATGAGGAAATCATCAGACAAAACCAAATTGAGGGATTTTCTACAACTGCTTCTTCAAATTTCTGGCGCTCTTCAAAAATGTCACTATTAGGAAAAGACAAAGTCTGAGGTGCTAACCATTCGATTTTAAAGATTAAAAAAACATGATAATTAATACAATAGGTGATCTTGGATTGGATCTTGGATCAAAAAAAATTGCTACAAGGGATACTGTGGGACGTATGGCAAAATTTGAGTATGGGATTGTTAAATTTTCTGAATTTGATCAATGTACACCCCTGTTCTTATGAAACACACGCTGAACTATTTAGTCATGAATTATACACACACACACACACACATACACAGATGCTCCTCAGCTTAATGATGGATTATGTCCTGATAAACCTAAGTTGAAAATATTGTGAGTTGAAAATGCATTTACTACATCTAACCTACCAAACATCATAGCTTAGCCTAGCCTACCTTAGACATGCTCAGAACACTCACATTAGCCTATAGTTGGGCAAGAGTAATTGCAGTCTTCTTCTCACTGGGGACTAGAGACACAAATGGGCATTTTGTAGACATCATGGGATGCAAAACCACAAAACAATATCCAAAAGTGTGCAACACAGTACACCGTATTGATTATTTACTCTTGACTGACTGGGGGCTGTAGCTCTCTATCATTGCCCAACATCAGAAGAGTATCATACTGCATCTTGCATATCGCTGGCCTGGGAAAAGATCAAAATTCAAAGTAGGATTTCTACTGAATGCATCTTGCTTTTGCATTATTTTACAATGAAAATCTTTAGTCGAACCATTGTTAAGTCAGGGATTGTCTGAGCATGGAAAGTGATAAAGCAAATATAGTAAAATATTAATAATAATTGGTATGTCTAAGTGAGGGAGTTCATTGTATACTATTCTTACTATATTTGAAATTTCTTCAAAAAAAGGTATTATTAAGAATGTGTGAACCCTTTGATGCATAATTTTACTACTAGTAGTCTACCCTAAAAATAAAGTTTTCCAAAGTCTTTGCCTTTATAGTTGGGGGGAAAAAAAATTGGGGCTTGAAGCAAACAAGTCTGGAAGAATTTCTGCCCTAATTTTCCAAATAATTCTAAGTAGGTCCTGGGAATGATGCTGAAAAAATGCAGCGACCCATTCAGAAAAGTTCCAAATAGATTTTGTAGATACTCTACCCTAAAGGAGGTGGTACATAACTCCTCACATCTTAAGTATGAGCTGCACATAGTATTTACTCCCAAAGAGTACAATATATAAAAAGGTGGGAGAGAGTAACTTTACAGTGGAGAAACCTGACAAACACTCGTTCAGCTGTGTGATCAAGGTCAACATCAATAGTCAAAAATGCTGACAGCATGAACCCTTGATATCACATAATGAAAATGGCACATTACCTCTGTAATCTTATTCAATACCCATAACTCCCCATCAGTCATGAGAAAAATTCCAATAGAGGTGCATCCTACAACAAACCTAACCAGTACCCCTCGAAACTGCAAGGTCATCAAGTACAAGGAAAGGTTGAGAAATTGCCACAGTCAAGAAGAAACTTAGGCCACATGACAATTAAATGAAATGTAGAATCCTGGATGGGATCCTGGAACAGAAAAAGGGCATTGGGTTTAAGAGAGGAAAGGAGGCATCTAAAAAATGCAAAGGAAAGGGCTTGCAGAAATGACCAACTCAGCCAAAGTCCATTCCTAACTGCCCTCTCCCCCACCCCTCCAGGACTCTCTAGCTACCATGTTTTCCCCCATTGCTGACTTCCCCACCTCAAGGACTCTCCAGCTCACATCTGTTGATTCATGGCTTGCCAACCAACTAATGTCCTTCCTTATCTCTGTAGCTGTGTAGGAATAACAAGACTGTATAAAACTGCTTGTTATGTTTCAATCAGGGCTCAGCCTTTGGATAGGACTCCACTGAGCAGGTGCTGGCATTAATAAGTGTTGCTTCCAGAAACAAATGAACAGGACAAACAGAGACTCATGGACATGGACAATGACCAGTGGTTACCAGATGGGAAGGGGAAGGAGGAAAATAAAAAAATGTTAAAAAAAAAAAAAAATATATATATATAAGCTTGGAAAATAGTCATTACCATACCCCACCCCCCCACCAAAGAACAAAAATTGTTGCTTCCTACTTATAGCCTCAATGTCCCGTCTCTCTGTTCGAGAATCTTATAACAGTGCTGATAACGCCAAGGTCGCAAAACAAACGACCTATAAAACCAGTGGTCTTAAAATTCCTTCTCCCTTGTAGCACCTCCCCCACCGGAAGCTCCTCCTCCCCATCCTAAGTCATAAGGCACACATGAAACCTCAAAGGAATCACGCACCTCTTCCATAGACACTACAGAGGTAGACACACTGTAATAATTCTAACCAAAGCGAGCTCGTGCTTTAGGGCTGTTAAGCCTCATGAGCCAGCCTAATAAATTCTCCTTCCTCTAACAAAGTTGTCTGAGCCTCTAAATTCTTGTCAGGTTTTGCTTCCTGCAACAGGTTAAAACTAAGGAAATACAAATATATTATGGACACTGTTAATACATCAATATTGGTTAATTAACTGTAACAAATGTATCACACTAACATGTTAATAAGAGGAAACTGTGAGAGAAAGGTAAATGAGAACTCTCTGCTCTCTTAATTTTTCTGTCAATCCAAAACTTTAAAAATCTATTAATAAGTAAAATATTGAGTTTGCTTCATTAAGACTACGAAAGTAAAATACTAAATTCTGGTTCTGTAAAAATAAAACATTGAAGTTTTTTTAAAAAATTGCAAAGGCCATAAGGCTGGAGAAATCCACATAGCTCCACTAATTTCAGACGCCAGAACTCAAGAACTTCCCTCTTTTTCACCGAAAAGAAAGCTGTGGAAGAAAACTGCGCACAAAAATCACGAGACAGCGAAGTAAAAGAACAAGGCGGTGCCACTCGCGCAGGCGCACGAGCCCAGCCAGGAAAAGGGCGGGCTGGGCGGGGGGCGGGACTTCCTGGGGTCTGCTTTCTTCCCACTGGCTGAGAAGACTCACGTCTGGGCTGCGCGGTCACCTGGCAGGAACTGGAATCTGGGGTTATAAAGGAAAGAAAGGCGGAACCTACGCCTTCTTTTCTTTACCTTTTCCTTCCACTGTCTTCAATCTTAAACTCAAGCTAGTTGCCCACTGGCCTAGCATCGCTTTCGCCATGGCCCTCAGCGATGCTGACGTGCAAAAGCAGGTGAGGGGGTTGGGGTTGAGTCTTGCGAAGCCGCGCCGTCTGTCCCGGGGTGATGGGCTAGAACCTGGCTCAAGGAGGGCGCGGGCCTTGAGCAGCCCTGGATGCCTTGCTCCAAGTCCTCGGGTCCTGGTAGTCTGTCTGCGGGAGGGTGTCTCGTTGACTCGGAATTAGCTCCGTAGCTCATGTGACTTCTCGAGTCTTGCGCGCCGCCTCTTTTAACCCCCTAGCTCTTTGGCTCCCACATTGTCTGTATTTTCCCTGGGTACTTGCTGTGCTTGGTAGAGCGGAGCGTTGAAAACAAGGATTGAAAATATCCTCTTCATTTGATTTTTACCCTGAGGGAAGGGTTCACAGTATGCGAAAGGAAAGAGTACTTAGAGGAGAGAATTTATGAACTGTTCATCTTCATCTTAAACGAATCTCATCTATCAAATAAATTGTATGGTTGGTCTCCCACTAGTCTGTACATTAATATTGGCCAAACGTAGAACTGTTTTTCTTACGTTTATGAGCCCCAGTCCCTAACAGTGTTTGGCACAAAGTAGAGTCAAGATTTATGGGAAAAATTGTTAGGACAATTGTGAACGCACATCAATTTTGCGAGAGTATAATCAGTCCTGGGAAATTAGTTTTTAAAAATGAGCTATACCTTCATATTTGTAGGCATTAGGAATGTCATAATGCAAAAATATCTCAGGAGAATATTGTGGCATTGAAATTCCTATGACATGGGAAAAAGTGGTTTTCATTTGTCTTGCCAATAGATATTCTGAGATCACAGCCCTTGCATTTAGTAGTCATATTGCCACTTGATTTTTCAGAGAAGGAAGCTTAAGGCTGCAGTTTAATCTCTGCATAATATAGAGAACTAAGGCTACTTCTATTTGAATTACCAGGAAAATTCTCCAACTAAAGCACACTCACTGGCTTATGAATCTTCTTAGATGAGCAATACGATGTTTTTTTCCTTGGATGTTTCCATTTCCTTGAAAATATCTTTGCATTTTATTCTTAATATGCACTAAGAAGAGTAGTGTTTCTTCTTAAATGGTTCGCGCTAATCACTAGCTAAAAAAAAGTAACAAAAAATAGTATCTATGGAGAAATTTAAGAAATATTGCAATATTCTTACAAAACAGTGGGCTTTTTGAACATTTATCACTGCTGCTTCTAATATTTACTGTAGGAAAAATTGATGCAGTGGAAAAGTATACAAAGCCCTCCACATACTGTAGTGTTCAGTCATTAGTACTAATTCTCTTCTTTATCTTGTTCCTTCATCCTTCCCCCTTGTTATAATATATTGAAGAATAAGGCTTCTCTGGAAAAAATATAAAGATAAAGCAGTTTATTTTCTTGGAATCTAGACCAAAACCATTTTCCTTCTGTAAAATTGAAAGAATGAAGAAATCTTACCTGTTGTCTATACCCCTGCATACTACATATGGAAGCTCTAGGAAGGCAGTGTGTTTCATTCTCTGTATTTTCAGCTATGAATAGGCCAATGACCAAGCATGGAGTAGGCGCTTAATAAGCCCTAAGTTCTCTGACTTCTTCCCCATTGTAATAAAATACATGTATATATTTGTAATTTTGTCTGGGAAGTATGGTCATTTATTTCATCAGCTTTTCAAAAAACTTAAATTACTGGGTTAGCAGGAAGAGAAAAAGTATATTTTTAAGTCCGGGTTTTTCTACCGCAGGAGTGGAGTTAAATATCCTTAAGGAATTGACTGTTGTTGGAACTCTAAACAGAATATGATCGTGTTGACTGTAAACAGGCTTCTCTGACCTGGGTTAAAATAATGCACTTTGCTCTAGGCTGTCAAAACTGGTAGCATATAATACAGGTTTGAATTACAGTTCACCCATAGAGGCCAAATGTGCCTTGTAGTATTTATAAATACCTGTCTTGATTACTGTGTTTAGTTAAACTACTTTTAAAATTCCAGGCTGAGTTCAGTCAGGCTTCAAACTGAACTTGTGGAGATATCATTCTTTACCACGAACACACATACACAAATGTACAGGGGGCTAATCTTTTTCACAAGGTCACAGTGATTTTCTTACATGTAACTCTGGATTAGATGCTCCAAACATTTCAAGACTGGAGATTTTATACATATTGTGTTACTTATAAAATAGGCTCTGATTATCATAATTAATAAAACAACAAAATTTACCCTCTTAACCATTTTTAAGTGTACTGTTAATTATATTTACATTCTCGTGAAACAGATCTTAACTCACTTTGTACTTATGTGTACCTTATGTGATATCTTTGTGTTACTTGGAGAATCTGGACTATGTTTCCAGATTGTTAAACTCTAAAAAGTATTTGGGATACTTTAGAAGGCTTAAAACTCCCAACAGATTCTCATCCATGCACAAATATTTATTAAGCACCTACTATGGTGGTTGGTCCGTGCTCTGGGGTTATAGTGGTATAAAGACGAGATCGCAGTACTCATGGAGCTTACCTTTAAGTGGTAGAATTAATAAAGAAAATGAATTAATAATCCAGAAGTCCTACATTCATTTTTTTTTATCAGCTGCTTTTTTTTAATTCATTTTTTTCAGATAGAGCTATGAAATGAAACTACCAGTGAGTATGATTAGCCGTGTTGCTTGTATATTCACTTGGGTATATTTTACATCTCCTGCTAGAGACAGTACTTCCTTTGAGAGTATAAATTGGATCAATCACCCCAAGCTCCATTCAAAAGAATTTGGTGGACTTTGTTCTTTAATTGTAGCCAGAGATCTAAAATCTTTTAACAAGTTCCAAACCTTATATTTTAGTTCAAGATAGAGACAAGTAAACAAGCAATTATGAATGTGTTTAGGTAGAGGAAGTACAGAGTGCTCTTAGTGCACATAGGTGGGACGTTCAGGAAAGATTTTCCAAAGGAGGTGACAGTTAAGCAAGCTAAGGCTTGAGAAGTTAACTAGGTTAAGAGGGGGAGGACGAGTCTTCCAAGTGGAAGGAACAGTGTGTTTGAAATCTTGAAAGTAAAAAAGAATGGTGAACTCAAGGAACTGAAATATAGTATGGTAAGACCTTCTCCCTCTTATCTGCAGGGGGTGTGTTCTGACACCCCCAGTGGATGCCTGAAACTGCAGATAGTACTGAATTTTACATGTACTATGTTTTTTTCTTTACCTGCTGCGTCCTGCAAGTGGTGGTAGATCCTGCCACGTCCAGCACGGACCTGGAAAATAATCCTGAGTGGGATCTGTGGGAGATTGAGAAAAGAAAGAAGACAGCTGTGATCGGGAGGCCCACTATCTACAGATGATGGAGTAGAGAGCGATTTTATTTATACAAGAGCATGCATTTGCTGGCTAAAATAAGATTATCCCCACCCAACATACACATCCTACTGTAATCATTTGCATTTTCATAGATTTTCCCCATTCTTAGGAGGGTTCCTAGAGGTGAGACAACCCTTGGTTGACCTCACATATTGCAAGGACCTTGTCAGCTTGCAGCCTGCTCCACATTTACCTATGATAAAGCTTAATTTATAAATTAGGCACAGTAAGAGATTAACAGTAACTAATAAAGTAGAACAATTATAACTATGCTATAATAAAAATGTGAATGTGGTCTCTCTCAAAATGTACAATACTCACTTGTGACAATGTGAGATGATAAAATGCCTTATTAAGTTACCTTTTCACTTAAAGGAAGCACTTTATGACTTCTCTTGGCATATCTTTTGGCATCACTACTCTTGCACTTGGGGACCATGTTAAGTAAAAGGGGGGTTATGTGAACTCAAACACCACAATACCATGACAGTGATAACCAAGACTGCTACTAAGTGACTAACAGTGAGGGTACCCTGGATTAAGGGATAGTTCATGTCCTGGGTGGGGTAGAGAGAAGAATGGTGTGAGATTTCATCATGGCGCACATTTAAAACTTATAAATTATTTACTTCTGGAACTTCCCATATAATAATTTTGGACCACGGGTTAACTGGAACTGGGGAAAATGAAATTGCAGATAAGGGGGGACTACTGTATTACTGGAGCTACGAGTCTGAAGAGTGGCAAGTGGTGAAAGTTATGTTACAGGTTGCTGGAAAAATAAGCAATAACCAGATTACCTTCTAAAGTCTGCACTTTATCATAAGAGTGGAAAGTGTAATACATAATAAGAGGCATTTTTAAAGTATCTTCCTGGTTGCAGTGTGGAGTTGATTAGAGAGGTAACAAGAGAGGAAGACAAATTTGGAAGCTGTTGCAATAATTCAGCTGAGGTGATAGCAAGGACTGGGGTAGTGGCTGAAGATGGAAAGGCGCACAAATTAACTATTAAAAGAGAGAATCGATAGGACTTGATGATTAGAAGGAAGAGTCAAAGTTGTGTGTTGATACTAACCTTCAAGACAGATCAAAGTGGGAGATGGGTAGAAGAGTGATTAGCAGTTTATTATTTAACGTGTTGAATTTAGGTTACAGTGAGTATAGTATATCCAAAAATGCTGTCTGGGAGGCAAAAGAAGAAAAGTATGGCCCTAAAGGAGACTGAGAAGAACAAAAATGTCATGGAAGCAAAGGGAAGTGATTGTCCAAGACAGGAGGGTTGGTCAACATATCAAGAAATGTTGAAAGATTAAGATAGGCCAAGATTTAAGGGCAAGGAGATTGTTGTCATTTTATGAGAGTAATTATAGTGGAGTGGAAGGATAGAAGTTAGATTGAAGTGTGTGGAAAGTAGGAGGTAAGAAAGTTGAAGGAGTAAAGATAGTTCATTGGTATCTTTTAGTTGGAGAAGACAGAGTTGCTGGCTGAAAGGGGTATGAAGTAGATGAGAATATATAGTCAATCCTTTCTTTCCCATAGACCCCAAGTTCCTTGAGAGTAGGATAATGTCCTGTTTACCCGCATTATTGAATATTGCTTCTGGTTCATTTGTCAGGGCAAATTTCAGATTGTAGGTTACTCAAAGACAGAAACTATCTAATATATTCTTGTATACAAGGCCTGGCACATAAAATGCATTCAATAAATGGTTGATTATTGACTGAATCCGGAAAGATATATTTTCTTCTCTTGTTACATTAAAAAAATGTTTTATTTTTCCTTATAGATTAAGCATATGATGGCTTTTATTGAACAAGAAGCCAATGAAAAAGCAGAAGAAATAGACGCAAAAGTAAGATTCCATTTTCTAAGTTTAAGAAGTCATCAAGGTTTCATGTTTTGCTTTGCTAAATAGTAATTAGAAAAATTGTTTAGCAATACTTGCATAGTACTAATAAGAATATCTCTTATCTTTAACATTAAGTATAAATTTTCCTTTCTAAACATTCTGATTGCCAGTAAGTGTCCTGCAATTTTATGGTAGAGAGTAGAAAAGTAATGGATGAGGGATGGAGGATGGGAAAGAGACACATACACATCTTCCTTAAAGAATAATTCCAAATAATTTATGTAGATAACGCCCCCCATCAAGAACTTGGAGCTTAAATCTCCCTAACCACTATCCTCACCAGAGTGTGGGCTGAACCTAGTAACCAACTTCCAAAGAATAGAATATGGAAGGACGCTCT